CCAAAGTCACTATGAATGTCTGTAAATACCTACAGTTGTGTGCCAATCCATCAAGTAGATGCTGAGATATTTCACTGGATAAGTGAGAACTTAAACTTGCTGGCGGCGTTCGATAAAGGGTTAGCGGATCACCAATGTCCTCTGGGCACCATGGACACCTGGCAGTACGCACACTAGCTGATGCACACTATATTGTCCCACAATGCAATGCACAATATAAATGGAGGATCTTGGGTGCCCTGGTGGCCTGACGGTTTGGCCTGAATCGAGACACCCCACTTTGGGTCTGTCCTGGGGATATTTGTTGTACACCTTTCTCCCCTTATTTAGTCATCTCTGTACTGTTGGCTCTATGTTGGTAAATCATAAAATCCCCCCAAAATACTAGCTGCTCATAGCTCCACAAAAAAAAAAAAAAAAAAAAAAAAAAAATTCGAGGCAACTTTAATGGAACTAGTGATTTAGAATTAAAGTCCTTTGACACCAAGGGGTCTGCAATTTGTACATATTTATATCACTACTCCAGTATCTGAAGTTGATGTATTTAAGAATACAGTGCTTGTTAGTGTATAGATACTAGTTGCTAGATACTACTCTCTCTCTCTCTCTCTCTCTCTCTCTCTCTCTCTCTCTCTCTCTCTCTCTCTCTCTCTCTCTGTTTGATTTGGGGGAAGTGCTTTGTCAACTCCACAGGCTTTAAAAACAACAGGGGTTTGCTGTCTTGTTTATGTGGGTCACAGGACAGACAGAGGACAGAGGTAAGTCTTTCTTTTGGGCTCAAATTAGTTTTCATTTTAATGATCATAGGTGTTTTATTTTGAAAAGTAATTGAAATGAAATATATTAACCAATTGTATTTGATTTTTCTTTTTTGTCTTTTCAAAATAATACATTTTTGTGTCAGGGGGTCCCTTTTCCCTGCTACTCAAAATAATGCATTTTAAGGTTTGTTAATGCACCTTTCGAGATTTAATATAATATATTGAACTCAGTAGGTAGCCACTGTTTATGGGACACACGGATGCCACTCCCTCTTGTTGGTAAAGTTTGAGCTGTGAGGTTGTTTTCTGGCATATTCATTGAGATCAAATTTACAATTTAATAACAAAACTTTTAGCAATTTTAAATCAACGAACAGAAAGTGTGTGCAGACTGTTTTTGGATGTCACTGTGGCTGTAAACAGCCCAGCCTCCTTTTGTCTTTCTGTCTGCCACCCTGTCTGTCCCTTTGCCCCTGACATTCTTCTGTCTGTTGGCTGTTTGCCCCACAAAAAAAACTCTTTTTGCAGATTATCTCCACATGTGATGATAGAGACAATGAGGGTTTATTCTTTTTTGGGGATCAGACTGGCCATTTGTTTCAGGACAGGGGAAACCTGCCAAAGACTAATATGCTTTCAGTCCAGACTGCCTACACGTGCTGTCGTGCACAGTAGTCTACAGACTGCATTCATGTCATCATGATTGCAATTATATACAGTGTAGAGGCTTTAGCACAAGTTTTGTGAAGATGATGGCTTGACTTCACTGACTTCATAACTTTAATTTCCTTAATCTCTGTTCAATATTTTTGTTTAATTGTATGCATGTCTCAAAGTTTGGAGCTTCATGTAGCACCTGCGTGACAATGCATGGATTATTATACGTCTTTTCTCGTCAGGTAGACTCGGTCCAGCCAGCCAGGGAGGGACAATGCGCTCTCTCTCATCGCTGTGGCTGTACGCGGCCCTGCCAGGTCTGCTGTGGGCTTCACATGTCACCCTAATGGTAGAGGGGGACAATGACGCCTCCAGGATCTGCCAACCCGCCCCCCACTGGACTATAAAGGGACATGCACCCATGCAAGAGCTGCTGGGAAATGTGGTAGTGGTGGCGCTACTGAAGGCCAGCTGACAGTTCTGTCTCACTCAGGCCTCCAAGTAAGAACACAGACTTCATGGAACAATAGTATTAGTAGTTTGATAGGCATATACATATCAATGATACACACAGAGCAAACATTGTTTAGAAGGAGTTTAATTATTACGATCATTATTTAAAACAACTTTTATGGTTAAGAAATCTTTAAAAATGTTGCGACATTACAAATATTTGACCAGAGATAACATGTATAATTTTTGACATGTAACAGTAGAAAAAGCATTGATATAAGTAATGGAATAAACAATGGCTGAATTCCATTTAGCTGCTTCAGTTTTAGGGTCCTGGTATTGTGCATGCTGACTCACTGTCATTGTTTACTGGGACGCTTGAATAGAACAAAGCCTTTGAGAAATATTAAAGAAAATTTACTATAATTGGTGGGTTGGATGAAAAGGCCTTTAAGAGCTCCTTGTACATTGGTTTTAGTTGACAGTGGATGTCTCTATCTGTCCCTCTGCAGAATTGGAGCCCTGCGTGGAAAGCTGAACCGTAGCAATCTGACAGAGGTGTCTTTTATGATAGTAAATGAGCGTGAGGCTCAGTCCAGAGCCATGTACTGGGAGCTGAAGAGAAGAGCGCCCCCTGGTGTTCCTGTATACCAGCAGACTCCCCTTCAAAATGACGTGTGGGAGGCTCTGGATGGGGACAAAGATGACTTCCTGGTCTACGATAGGTAAGGAAAGCCACCGCTCCTAGACACGCAGATTATAAAATAGAGGTCATTCTTGTGAAAGGTTTTAAAAGCACAACTATGCTTGCATGTGAGCACATTAGTTTAGTAGGAGATACAAAAAAGAGGACCTGGCATGGTATTTCAAATGAATCTTAGAATCTATAAAAAAATATATAAGTTGTTTATGCATCATGTTGTGAAAATAAGGAAAGAGCCAATAAAATTGCACTGGTTCCCATCTACATTTTGATTCTCTTTCTTCTTTTTCTCCAGATGTGGTCTGCTCACCTTCCATATAGTGCTGCCGTACAGTTTCCTGCATTACCCCTATGTAGAGGCTGCAATCAGAGCCACTTATCATAAAAACATCTGCAATTGCTCTGTGAGTAATTACAGAACACACACACACACACACACACGCACACGCACACGCACGCACGCACACACACACGCACACACACACACACACACACACACACACACACACACACACACACACACACACACACACACACACACACAAATGCTTTTGCAAACATGATTTTCAGTGTTTACCATGAATTACTCACTCAATAAATGTAAAATGCCATACACCCTTTGATTTAAAGATGCACTAATCATTTTTGTAAGGATGGATCAAATGACAGTGTGTAATGTGAAAGTGATAACTCATCATGACAGACCCACAGGGAATTATCCCCAAACTCTGCTCTTCACCTCATCTCTAATGAGTTTTTTAGCTCATTATTTTGGTTTTCCAGGCCGCAAACTCCGCCCTCATTATATTACCTTATTTCCATCAGCAACAGGCAGCTGTTGTCAGTACAAAAAAAAAAAGATAAAAGATAAACACACTGGACACTTCCTGCTCAGCATTAAATATCAGACAGACAAAGTTAGCAACTAGCTAGTGAACATAGTGGAGCATTTAGCAACTAAAGAGCTACATACTGTATTTCCCTCAGGAGTTGGTGACCATAACAGAGCTGAGAATATTGCTCAGAAACACAAATCCAAATCAATGATAATGTTGTGTCCAAGGCCAAATAAATGCAATTAATGTAGCTTTAAACTACAGAAATATTAACTGTATTTTGTATGTATTTATTTTAACTTTCCTAGGCTAATTCTACTTTATCAAGTGGCAAGAACAGCACCATGAAGAATGAGACAACACAGTTTGATGACAGCCAGACAACAGCAATACCCACAATTCAACTGGACACTGATGATTCAGGGGCGGGAGATGCAGCTCCTGGGGCGACTCATCACCACCACAGCCATCCTCATCATCATTCTCCTCATTCTCATCAGCACCCTCACACCAGTCACCAGAATCAGTCCCGACATCAGCACGATACCAGCCAGAATGAAACTCTTCATCTTCCTCATCTCAGTCATCACCACCACCACCCTCGTCATCAGCATCACGGGCTGGAAGTGGATAATACGGATGACAGTTAAATTACTAGTGTTTTTACTTGCTTCTTTTGTCTTTAGTTAGTTAGGATGGGTTTACTTAGGAATATTTTTACTTTGATGGTAGAGCATACAGATAAATGGCAGTTCATTGAGCTGTTGAATGTGTTTAAGCAGTAATCAGATTGTGGTTTCTCTGCTGGCATCTCTACACCTCACTCAGAGTGGATCAAGTAGCCAATCCTACCCTGTCTTCTCCCATTAATGAAGTCTATGGAGTAAAACCTGCCTGCAGGAGGCTGTGGATGGATGTGTGTGGAGAAACGGGATGGACCGATGGTTACTGTCACCCACACAGAGTCAGAGGATGTTGTACGCTGCTGCCGAGTAAACCTCAGTCAGATTGCTGTCCAAACATTTTCCTTCCTGTTCAGTTTCTGCTTCTCTTAATCCTGTCTTGTGCCGGATCTGGAGGTGGTATGCTATGCTAATACATTACTATGAGTGCATAACATGAGCTTCAGCTGCTGCTCCTTTACTCTGTTGAATGTGTACAAGCATTCTGGGAAGTGGTATGATAAATTAGATCAGTATACTAATCCAATGAAGTCATTAGATATAATAAATCACAAAAGCAAATGCAGCACTTTTCAGCTGTATAATATACTGTATTACTGGATTAACAGTGTACATTGATCCACTTAAATAATTTGACATATTTGCTGTAGATTTGAAACTTTATTACATTACTTTAATGCTTATCAATTAATTATCTGAATGTAGAATGAACCTTTAAGTTGTTATTCTCCATTAAAAAGCAAATACATTTTGAAAGTGTTTGTATGAAGGTATCTTTACTATAGGCATGGACTCTTTCTGTGTCTTTTGTAGTACCTGTATAGTTCATGTAATTGGAGAATTGAGGTTTGATGCCGCTCTCATATCTATACTAGATATAGCTACAGCCAAAAGCTGGTTAGCTTAGCTGAGCATAAAGACTGGAAACAGGGGGAGAAAGCTAGCCTGGCTCTGACCAAAGGTCACAAAATCCACCAACCAGTGCCTCTAAGGATCGGTATTTAACAAGTTATATCTCATGTGTTTAATGTGGCTTTACGGGGGTTTTGTGCTGGAACTATTTCTTAACTGGGAGCAGTAACCTTACTGTAGTCTCTGCTGTTTGCCTGGCAACCTGATTGTGATGACACAAATCTCCCCGTAAAACCACAACTTGTCATTTTTAGACTTTTTTTTGGTGAGGATTTAATAAACTAGATACAGTGCATATACAGCAAGCTATTGAAGTCCTGAAGATTCTGTTGTCTTTGGACAGAGCCAGGATAGCGGTTACCCTCTGTTCCCAGACTCCATGGTAAGCTAGGATAAGCAGCTATTGGCTATAGCTTTATATTTAGTGTACAGGCAAGATTAGAGTAGTATCTGTCTTCACCTGACTCTTGGCAAGAAAGAGTTAAACCGCCCCTTTATCTATTTGTAAACCTTGCTCACTTTGTCTATCATACAAAACCAAAATGTCACTAATTCACCTGATCTGAGTCCCAGTGGGAATGATTAGATCCACTGTTTAGCTGAGAAATTCATAAAACAAAAAATTTAACTGAATATCATCATAGTCATTCAAAATGATGTTCTTATTACCAAAAGAAGCATTTAAATTAGTTGTCAGTCAGTCTCATGTGTATTCTGATTGATGGGATTTAGCTGGCAGGAACTTGATCTGCCACACTAGAATAAAGGAGACACACTGCCATATGTCATGCTGGACACACACACACACACACACACACACACACACACACACACACACACACACACACACACACACGCATATACACAGAGAGAACAGGTGGATTACCTCAGTGCTGCTCAACACATGGCTGAGATGCAGGAAGCTTTATGTAAGGAGAGCTGAGGAGAAAAAAAAACAGCCGCCATCAGAATGAAGGTAAGGTCAATTTCCCTGAGCTGTCCTGCGCTAAAAAAAAAACCTAACTAAGATCATATTTAAGTATATACCAATTCTTGCAGCTCTTCAGAATCAACCCACACACTTACTCACTTTCACAAAAACTTTTTAATGACAGTGTTTCAATCCAAGATGGATCTTCATGAGGTCAGAAAAAAGAATTCTGTGGCAGTGAGTAAGTGTGCAGGTGTTATTGTTTTTTCATTGATGCTATTTTCTGACACCTGTGTGATGTGCCTATTTTCACCCTAGTTCTTAAGAGTCAGCCCTAATTAATACCACTGAACGTTTATTGGTTGTCATAATTTCCCATGATTACCAGCATGTAGTCTCCAAACAGCAGACTGAATGAACAGTACAATATCAGCTGTTTGTTACTGAATCTTGTAAAATGTTGCAGATTGCTGAAGATTCATCAGATTTCCATTTAGCAGTGCTGGATGTCTTAAACCAAGTCGATAAACCTCAGCAGGTTGTAGAAGCCTGGCACTGTTGGGGATTTTCCTCTGTAAATCCCAGTTGGGAGGCTCCTGGAGAGGCTAAACTTCTTAGCACTGTTGACACAGCCTGCCGCTTCTGCCAGTGCAGTAATTAAAGCGTTCACTTAAATTTAGGGGTGGAATGTTACACAAAGATAATAATAATATTCATTAATGCTTCTCCTTTTTAAAAGACTGAGTTTATTCAATAGTGTTTACTGCTCAATGTGGATTGGGACACTGATGCAATGTGAGAACATTCAGGGAGAGATGAAGATGAAGAGGAAGCGTTGATGTACCCTCTGCAGTGCAACCTTCAGCCCCACAATTACCAAAAAAGCCTATTAAATTTGGATTATTCATTCATTAATAAATTCATTTAACTGTTAAGTTATTTTTTTTGTAAATATTCCCTGAATACTGTTTCAAAGCCTCTTCCACAATGCCAGGATTTAATTTAGGTGGGAAAATACTAGATCTGTTTATTACAATATTTACCCAAAATTTATTTTGCCCATAAATGAATTTAATTCCAATTAAATAAAAAATTCAATATTTAGTCTTTTTTTAAATGACCTTCAAAACACATCAGGTGTAATATTCGTGTAATTTTTAAATAAAAATTTCAGTGCAGGATAAATGCACCTGTGTAAGAGTTTCTACATTCATACAAAAAGACCAAAACTTACATTAATGGAGAGTTTAATAGACCAACACCACAGGGGGGAGCTCAAGTCCTGACAAAAGACATCAGTACACATTCAAACTCAGCTCTATCAGAAACCTACTGTAAAGAAAGATGAAGGAAGTAACTGACCTGTTGTGTGCAGACACTAGATGGCAGCACTGTCATACGTTAATCAGATATGGACACTCATCACCCTGTTGTCCACATTAGGCAGCCTTCATCAAGAAGATTATTACTTATTATCCATTATCAAGAGATACGTTTGGATTAGTGAACATAATCCTCAAATTATAATCCAGATTATCTCCTGGTGCCTTAATCAAATTTGCAGTGTTTTTCTTTATGTAAGATTGTTTCCAAGGGGGGTGTCAGTTATAAACATTTGAAATACAATAGCCTGCAAAAAGTTGTTTTTTTAAAAAAAATGTTCCATGCTTATACCAAATGCAGAATAGATATTTTACATATCATTACAAATAGTTGTAATTTGTTGTATCACTTTTTTGCACTTTCTTACTGACTGATGAAGGTTGCAAGACCAAAGCCATGTTTTAACACAGTGCAGCACACCACAGTACAACTTTATAGTTGTGGAAATATGTCTTTGACTATACCTGTACAGAAAACAGCATTAAGACATGTAGAACATCATACAAATGCTACTGTTGTGTAAATTCGCCTTGAAATGAAAAGAGTATTAGTTTGTTTAAATAAAAGCTAGAAAAAATAATGTAAATAACAATGAAAAGTAAAGTTATAACAATTTCATCATTAAAATTGCCCTGGGAATTAAATACCTCTTGTAAATATTCTTTCTTGTCAGAGGCATCGTAAAGTACCCCCCTTTGAGTAAATGTTTGGCCTAAGAGTGTAGCACCTTTCCTTTGTTGTGTCATCCAGACAGTGTTTTGGTTCAGTTTTGTACTGCTCATATGTGTCCATCTCAGGGTTTTCAGGCTCTCACCACGTGGCAGAAATTACAACTATTCTACAGAGGGATTCTTGAAAATGGAGGCAAGTCTTTATTTTAGCTTTAGCAATGTAATAACATATTTCAAAGATATTGTTAGATACTTATGTCACATATATTCACAGCACACTCTTTGCTTGATTTTCTCTGGCTTTTTCTCTCCACCAGACAAGAAGACAGACAGTTGGCCGCTGGTCTACTCTCCTGTGCCAATTAGCTGCATCTTTCTGTGCTACCTGGTCATTATATGGGTGGGGCCAAAGCTGATGGCGAAAAGGCAGCCAGTCAACCTTAAACCTGTCCTGATAGTTTACAACTTTGCCATGGTCTGCCTGTCTGCATACATGTTCTATGAGGTACTGCTGTACTCTGTGTGGGAACTTTGCTAAGGGTACAGTAGATGGGAAGCTGGATGCTGTGGTCAGTATAGGATAACGCAGGGCCAGGGTAGAGCTTTGCATGTACATCCAAACAGTTGTTGACATGCAAAATGAAAGGAACAGTTGGATCCTGAAACCCTAAATCACCTAAGCTGTTTTTAAAGTTTAATGTCAAATCTAAATTAAAGCTGCTCGAATCAATACTTTTTTAAATAACAATGGATCAAATGATTTTGTGTAATATGAATGGGGTTGCTCATAGTGACAAACCCATTGAGAATAATCACGCAGGCAGCTGTTTCCAGTGAAACTTAAGCACCTGCTCAGCACCAAAACAGACAGTTAGCATACAGCGTGAGTGTTAAGCAGGTAAAGAGTTAGCTATAGAGATTGAATATTTAGTATATATAGATATATATCTCATATATTGAGAGAAACCGAAGCAGAGATGAAAGCAGTTTTTGTCTTTCCAGTTCACAGCCTCTTCCTGGTTGGCCCAATACAGTCTGCTGTGCCAGCCAGTTGACTACAGTGACAGCCCACTGGCAATGAGGGTAAATCTTTTTACTTTATCGCATTTTATGCAACAATTTTTACACTCTGGAATTTGTTTTATGCATAGGTTTAGGTGGGCTAGACCTTGATTACCACAATATTCTGTAAATGTATCTCACAGAATGTCTATGTGTATACTAAAAGTGCAGTTTAAATATAGCTTGCTTTGAAACAAATGATCCTCTGTGGAAAATGTATAAAATGTTGTAAAAATGAATATGAACATATTTTTCTGTTGTGCAGATGGCCAGAGTATGCTGGTGGTTCTACTTCTCCAAAGTTATAGAGCTCAGTGACACTGTAAGTATGAAAGGAGTGAAAAGAAGTCATTGAGAGTTTATTCAAAAAATATTCGCAGCAAACCTTAAATATAGCGACAGATCTTTTTGACCATGCTTACTTGTGCATGTGTTTCTGTACCTGCTGTGCTTGCAAATATAAACACACACACTACAAGTTCTTACTGAATGCCTGCCTTTGTGTGTGTTTTCAGATATTTTTCATCTTGAGGAAGAAGAACAGCCAGCTGACCTTCCTCCATGTCTACCACCACGCCACCATGATCTTTAACTGGTGGGCTGGGGTTAAGTATGTGGCTGGTGGCCAGTGTGAGTACAACCCACCCAGAACACACACTGACACACGTACTTAAGCGCACACTATGCGATAGTCATCCTGTATACTTGCCCACAGCTTTCCTGATTGGTCTGATCAACTCGCTGGTCCATATAGTGATGTATCTGTACTACGGCCTGGCAGCTTTTGGACCAAGCATGTCCAAATACCTCTGGTGGAAACGCTACCTCACCTCCCTACAACTGGTCGGTATTTGCCGCTGTGTGTGAGTGTGTGTACCTCAGTGACAGCAACTACAACATTCAGTCTTCTGTCTTTCCTTTTCCTTTCAATTTTTATTTTAGGATGTTATCACTATCACATTCTGACCACTTTACTATATGTATGTGGCAAATGCATTAACAGTTTATGTTTTAGTATAATTCAGTCTGATAATTTTGGATGCTTGTTAAGCAAAGAGAGCCTGTACTTCTAACTGTAGCATGAATCACTTTTCTTGTATGTGTGAAATTATGGTATTGTCAGTATTAAAGTACAATGGCAAGCATTTACCTCTTAGAACCGTTGGGGTAACAAGCTCATCTAAAATGTCCAAAAAGCTTGGAGTACTCAACTTTGATAAGCCTTCTGCTCCGTTTGTCATTGTTCTGACCGGCTGTTGGGATAACTAGATTATTAGCAGCACTGATGCTCCTCAGTAACTACTGGACCATCTGCTTTCTAGCGTTGATGAAGAGACAATACATCCTGTAGGGTTTTTTTCCCTTCTATAGGCCTGCAACATATGTAGGTCAGTATGGTGACTGACTGCCAATATGCAACAATAATTGTACTGACCTTAGAGGTGATCCCCAAGCCTTCATCATTAACAGTTGTCTTTACAATTTGATGAACTGAAGTTGAGGTAGTTGGGTTGATCGGGGAGACTGGTGAGTGTATTTCTGAACTTAGGGGTTTCTTTTGTATTTTTAGAGGTAATTATATACATTGAAATGGTGGTTAGTGGAGTGGGATGGATAGATGTGCAACGTTCATTATGAACACTATAAAACATATGGATATAGGCCAGTCTACGGGCCTTTATGTCATGACAATTACCGGTACATGCAGAAGCACTGTAGCGACACTTGCTTTCTTAGTAGTGACACTTTTTAAAACATGTATGCACTTATGCATGCAATGCTGATCATGATGATGAAAGTTTATCAGCACTTAGCATACCTAGTGAGTGGACCTTTCAGCACGATGGACGACGTCAACGCAGCATTTTCATTGCAGAAGTCTCATGGAGCTCTTTAGAAAAGACTGACTTTTACATTATAATTACATTGGGTGTGTATATGACAATGTAATGTCATTACTTCATGAATTACTAAATTCGAATTTGTGTTGAAGCTGTACTTTTCTTTCATTATAAGATATTTTTAAAGCCAGTCTTTCACTTGGCACCCCACATATTAAAGAATTTGAGGAAAAATTCTGTGATAACAAAGTAATACAGAAATACAAAAGAAACTTGGTTACTAAAAGGATCCTTAACGGTGGATTTCAAAACAGTACAAGTACATTTAACCCTGCTAACAAAGATGATAAAGAAAAGTATCCAATGCCTTCAGCTGTCTGTCTTAATATGACCATAGTGTCTTTTAGGTTCTATGTACAGTAAATGTCAGTAAACCAAAGTACAATTTGAATGTGTGTCAAATTATTGGTATTTGAGTTTGAGAACTTTGTTTTGACGTCTTTATACAGGCTGTGGTGTAGGAAGTAATTGCCTCACACTCTCTTTTTCTGTCCCCCTTTCAGCTCCAGTTTTTCATAGTAACTATCCATACCACCTACAACCTTTTTGCTGACTGTGACTTCCCTGACTCCATGAACATGGTTGTGTTGGCCTACTCTCTCAGCCTTATTGCTCTCTTCAGTAACTTCTACTACCACAGCTACCTCGCCAAGAAGAAGAACAAGAAGACATAGGAAGAGAGAAAGAGAGAGAAACAGGTGTATATGAGGGAGGAGAGAAAAGAGCTGAGATGAAAACATTTGAAAACAGGAAGGTTGTACTGAAAGAGGAAAGCACAGATGAGAGGGGATATTAAAAAAATCTGCTTGTTTGTTATGTTAATTACTTTATGTTAATCATGTTATGGTAATTACAGCTTGATTTCTTATATGTACAAAATACATTAACATATTTGAAAACCTATAATGACACTTGAAAATTGTAAAAGTACTGCACATTTATGTTTGTAATAAATCCAATCATTTTAAATCATTTTATGTTGTGTGATATATGATATATTTGTGCCTTAAACAAACACACAGGGTCCTCCATTCATTTATTCCTTCTGTTCATTCATCCAGTACAAAGCCAGAAAACACACTCAACACACATTAACCCTTGTTTCATGATCCCTTCCCCCAGCTGCTAATAGATGAGACTCTGTAATCACCATTCGAGTTGCTTTATTCTTCTCTCACACCCATTGGCTGGCAGTTACAGCCAATCAACTGTTGGCTGCCATTAACTCTATATCCCACACTCTCCATCTATTCCTACCCCCTTTTTAGATCAGGGTTCTCCTCCCCATTTTAATCCCTCTTACCAACAGGGTAACCCCAGACCACTCGACAACCCCTCCCCAGCTCCATCTGTCATGATGTAGAAGTATAATTGTTTGAGTCCAGCAGTCCCATCCGCTCCCCCTTGTGGACAGAAATGAAAGAAATATTAGAGGAGAAACTGAACTGAACCGTATCTTCTTGCCTGGCTTTGGTTTCCCCCAGCCAATCATCACTTATTCCCATTCTGTTCACTATCTGTTTCTCTTCTTTTATCTCCAGCAGCATATTGGTTTTGACTGTCCTCTGTTCCAAACTCAACGGGGGGGTGGGGGGAAGCAGACAAAACAGAAGACCACATGAAAAAGCACTTTGAAGTGACTAAATCAAAGTTCCAGAGGCAGCCACTTTAATACCCGTCAGCACAATGCGGCAACTCTTCTCTCAACAAAGTTCGGTGAATCTGCCTTTTACGTTTGAGATTTTCAAAGCAGCACAAAACAACTTGACGGCACTGTTTGCAAAAAAGTTTTTAAATATTACAGCAGGAAGAGGATTGGTGTAGCTAATGATAACAGCATGCCATCAATGTGCATCAGTTCTATGGCTCTGTAAAATTGGCTTACTGGACCTTACAGTGTGCCCTTTAAATAAGTATACTGTAACAGGACTGCCAGTAAAAACCAATTGCATCAAAACTTGTGTTTTGAGAGCTGTTGAGCATGGTACTAGATCTGGATCAAGTTCAGAAGCCATCTTCTGTGGGTCATTGTAATAGCTGATTTCATGGTTGTATAATGTTGAAGGAATATATGACTGTTTTAAAGCTGTCCATGTCCCTGCTGAGCAAGTTCAACATTAGAGCTGCAGCATGAAGTAAAACACTTACACCATTCTGCGCTCAGCAAATGCAAACATTGCTGAAGCTTTGGGAAGTACACCACATATTCAACCCATTCATCCCTGAAAAGGTTTCCTTCACACAGATGTACAGCCATTTCAAGACAGCAAGACCAGAAGGATCAAGGCTATGGGCTGTCTTAGGCAGGAAGTATACTTGCTTTTAACTGCGCATTTGTGTGTGCGTGCAGGCTTCCTCGCATATCGTCCTCAGAAATTGGTTAGGAAGCAAGTATATCTATAGGATCGTCTATGAAAAAAAGCTGAAGTAACCTGACTCTTTTTGCAATGCAGTGCAATGTCATTTGGCAAGGCCCTACAGTGTCCAGTCAACTTCATTCAATACATTACATTCCTGGCAGTTACTTTGTAACATAAATGCTGTATCTCTACTCTTTACCTTGCATTTGCATGAATAAGATAAGATGTTCCTTTATTGATCCCCTGTGGGATAAATTCAAGTTTGAAACAGCAGCACAGGGGAAATGTTGTGCATGCATGATAAAATGCTTGTCACAACTTTCCAGAGCTGTAAAATCCTGTCTGAGACCCACTATACACTTTTTTATACTTCTGATAAACCTTCAGACTCATGTATCTGTTGCTCAAACTGGACTTCCTGGATCCTATTTCATCATATCCTGAAACAGCACAGTGCTTTATAACATAGGAAAATGACCCCAGTGGCAAGTTTTCAACCACTAGTAGTGCTATGGAGCAATGTTTGTATGACTGGGGATCCCCATGAACATGAGGATGCTTTTGCATTCATCCCTGCACTGATCTAGAACCTTTTACAAACACTTTTTAAACGTTTTAAAAATGGGGATTAAGACATTTGTTAGGCCTCAAGGATACAAACTTCACTTTGGTGATAAAGCAGGTTTGGCCCACTTTCTTTATTGGTAGATAAAAAGCTCTTCTGAAGGCTGCATGATGTCTGACACTTGGCTGACATCAGACAGTAAGCATTTTGCAGGCTGTGAGTTACTGACTGTAAAACAGCACCGTATGGCCAGTACTAAAATAACACAGAGCACACTTGTGTAGCATTATACGCCATATTTTGCTGCTGGCAAGTACTTAATCTGCTCTCCATCTCAACACAAGTGTGATACAAGCACACACACACACACACACATACACACACACACACACACACACACACACACACACACACAGCTGATTGCCAGAAGCCCATTTAAAGAGTGATGTCCCTCAGCCTCACTGCAGGCACAGCTCCAGGTTGATTACTGCTGAGTGCCATACAGCTCAGGCATGACTGACTGTCTGGCACACAGTCGCGTTGATCAACTTACATTTCTGGGTTTCATCTTGAGTGGTTAGAGAGTTACGGTGCTTTTGAGACGACGCCAAGCTAGTTACAGGTGTCACCTAACCATTAACACTTTTCACTTATATTTGACATGATTGAATAACTTTTGATGCCGCGGTTGATACAGACATGGGCCAAATGAAAAGTAAAAAAGGAGCAACCACAGTGCTGTGAGCCTGCTTAAATCTGTGTTTCCTGAATCTTGTTTGTGAATGACTCTGTGTCGGTCTCCTTGGTAACAGTGTTAGACAGTGTTTGGGCTGTGGTCAGCTAAAGGCAGACTGTAATTAATAATCAGGTTAGAGGGAGAGGTTATTGAAGCACTCTTGAAGCTGCTGCTGCTAACTTCCTAGCTAGTGAGAGGGACAGAGATACACACTCACACACAAGTGTGCGCGCACACACACACACACACACACACACACACACACACACACACACACACACACACACACACACACATAATTGTCAATAGTGAGAGAGGTTTGGGAATAAGAGGATGATAAGTGTGCTTGAAGGTGAGCCACTGGGTTGTTTCATACAATGAGGGTTAACAAGAGGCTGCAGCAATCTCACTGTGATGGGAGCACACTCAATACAGACAGGCTAGTGTTAATCAGCCAACCAACCAGCTAGTAGCTCCCTGTCAAGTGTGTGTGTGTCTGTGTGTGTAATTAAGCATGATGTTCTAAGTAGTGGCCAATACAGACTCTTGGAGAAGAGAAGGTCTTTTTCCCCTCTCTCTCTTCAAACCTCAAGTATAAATCACATCTGTCAAAAAAAAAAACATCAGTTACTTTGTCATCACTCGTGTCTGTGCGTATGTGCGTGTCCATGTGTGTTGTGAGAAGCCCCATCTGTTGGTGACACCATCCTCATTTGTGGACAATGGGATGAACCCAATGCCACCTGTATCTGTGTTATCAAAGTTATAAGGGGGATGTGCCATTTATCTTGACAGGCAGATAGCTTGATTTATGGCCTTTATTGTTTGTTGCGGGTCAGACAATCTCAGGCATAAAGAGATTTGTTTCAGAGGGACTCGGGCCCACTGGGTATTATTTAATTTGATTCATATTTGCATGAACCTGATTCTAATTTGCCCTTTTAGTCCAAATTGATATCTGGTATAGCTGTCACTTTTTAACCATGCTAGCTGCGAGGCTGCAGGGATGGCATTGTCGGTAGGTCCGCCCACTTCTTTGGTCCAAACTGAAATATCTCAAAAACAATTGGATGGATTGCCATGAAATTTTGTACAGACATTTATGGTTCCCAAATGATATACCTTACTGGCTTTGGTGATTCCCTGCCTTTCCTTCTAGTGCTTCTCCTTTCTTTTTTTTTTTTTTTTACATTTTTGCTTTTTAGTGAAAAATCTCAACAACTATTGATTGGATTGAGAATGAGAGAATGAATTGTAATAACTTCAGATCCTTAATCATCACTTCGGTTTATGACTACCTGCAAAATTAACAACCTTCCCGTCAGCCTTAGTTATATTTTGTATTTAGTGCTAGCAGGCATCTTCGCAACCGCAAAATTGAGAGAACTAGTAAGCTATGGTGAGCGTTAAAGCCTTTGCAAACCAAGTCCGTATTTTTCATCCAAAACTGTTGCAAGTTTTAAAAATAAATACAGACTGACTCTGAAACTTTTGTCCGCCATTACATTTTTGGAAAAGGTTTGATTATTTGCACTCAGAAGTAGAGGATGAGGACAGCACACAGGGAGGGAGGGAGTGTGACAGTGTGGAGACTTTCCTAATAAGCATCACTGACCAAATGCTTCTTTTTGGGAAGGATAAAATCATTTATCATGGTCAGGCCACTTTACCACTCCAAAGATCCACAAAGGGAACATCTGGGACTAAATTGTGAGCAGCTTTCTGTCACATGGAAATTCACACTAATAAAAAAATCTCAGTGCCACTTGAGGGTGATGTAGTTACTGTATGTACCTTTAAAAAATAGATTTAATTGTTCCAGAATGATTCTTTTTGCATTCACGTCAGTCACCTCTAAGATGTTCATTGCAGAATTGATTTCTTTGTGTGTATTTCCAGTAAATGCTGCATGTCAAATAACAGATTCAAAATGAAAATTACTATCTTTGGCCCCACAAAACCCACACAAGATACTTGAAAGCCTTCAGCCAATTACTAAACCAATCACTGTGCCTAAACTGTGACGCATTTCTGTAATCACATCTATTCACATTCACAACTAAAAAGTACACGGTTTTCTTCTATTTCATTCTCAAAATTTTAAGCAGACCTTTAAGGCTACAGGAGGTGAGTGTCACATGATCCTGGCCAGGCAAAACGATATAGTTTATCTCTCCTCAAAATTCTCTACACTTAATTTAGATTGATCCATTCAATCACAAGTATCCAACTGTATCATGATCAGCTGCAAAGCAAACAAGACACGTCAACCTTTGAGATAACA